TCGGCATCTCCAAACCCCGCCCCTCTTCCGCCGGGAAGGGAGAGGCCCCGGGAGGCAGGACCTCCCGGATTGGGCCAGAGTGCCCAGGGGGCGGTCTGAGATGGCGGGAAGGGAAGAAAAAGGCTGAAGAGCAGCACCGGACTGGCCAGGAAGGGAAGGCGGGATGGTGTGCCATTTAAACCGGAGAGGCGGGCCCCGGAGCTCCCCGGCGCGGGGCTGGACTGCCCGGGGTTTGGCGCAGGCAGAGCCGCGCCGCCAGTTACTCGGTTTTCGGAGAGGAGTCAGGATTCCCTTCCACTCCATTCGGTTTGGCAGGATTTGGCCTGCGATTCCCACAGGTTCGTCTGTCAGCTTTCCCTAATGTTCATATCCTAAGCACTTTCCTTCATATGTTCTGGCTGCCCTTAAAACAGGAAAGGAAATTACCCTATTTGGAATGAAAGTGTTCCATGACCTACCCCGCCTGTCCTGTCCTGTCCTGTCCTGAGTCCTCCGGCAGACGCTAGAGAAAACTGGAGAACCCGAGAATTACAGGGCTGAGGGAAGAGGGGGGAAGAAAGCAGGGTGAATAGGAAGCGAGCCTTTCTTTCTTTTTAGAAATCTCCAAGAGTTATTCAGTCCGTTATAGCATAGATGGCTGATTAAAACTAAATCGGCTCCAAAAGGTGGGGGGGAGGCTCAGCTGCAGCAGAAATGATTACATTTCCAGCCCCTGACGACTGATAACATGAAAATAAGAAACGAAGAGTAATGAGACGATTCCATTTCTCACTTGCCGGAGTTAGAAGGAAGATCTGGGACATAGTCCTATGTAGAACTAATGCAGTTCTACATTGTACTGTATATAGGTTTAGGAAGGGGAAAGTGCAAGGTACATTGATGATGACCACTATCGCTAGTTAATTGGATTTAGAGGGTGTTGTCTGGGGACTTAGACACTAGACCAGTGGTTGGCAAACTGCGGTTCGAGAGCCACATACGGCTCTTTGGCCCCTTGAGTGTGGCTCTTCCACAAAATACCACATACGGCACCCACGTACAGTGCGATTGAAACTTCGTGGCCCATGTGCAGAAGTCGTTTTTCGGTCTGGGCGAGTCTATTTTGAAGAAGTGGCATTAGAAGAAGTGGGGGGTGTCGGTTGGCGGGAGACGCAGCGCGGAGGAGGCGCTCGCAATACACGCACAAGTTGAGTAAGACTGGCTACAAGAGGAGTGTGGATGGGAGAGTTGGAAGGGGTGACCTCAGCGAACGTACCTCAATCAGATTGAGTACGTTTTTAGCAAAGGCCATCTTAGGAGTACCCTAATTAAGTTAATAACAATGTACCTACCTATATAGTTTGTTTAAAAAACTTGGCTCTCAAAAGAAATTTCAATCGCCGTACTGTTGATATTTGGCTCTGTTGATTAATGAGTTTGCCAACCACTGCACTAGATTCATTGGCCCTGGCTGGTGCACTCAGTTACTTTGTCATCCCATGGTGGATTTGATTCTCGCTCAGGGCACATATAGGGTACATATCCAGGTTGGGGTAGGGGGACATACAAAAGGCACCTAATCCATGTTTCTCTCCCTCTCCCTTCCTCTTTCTCTAAAATAAATAAAAACATATTTCTCTCTCTCAAAAAAAACAAAACAAACACAAACCCACAAAAAACTGGACTAACTGGAAGCCCTAGAGGGAAGGGTTAGTCATAAAATGGTTACTGTTTAATGCAGTGTTTGTGGAGCTTGTTGTATTAGTCTGTTTGGTGCAATAGAGGAACTAGGGTTGATCTTTGAGGAAAGATTAGGTCTGCAGCTCATACATTTTATCTGGCTCTGCAGGGCATAGATTTCATCAGGCTGTTTCATCAAAGCTGCTAAAACCTGTTCCTTCCCAATCTTAAAAATGTCTCATTTTCCTTTCTCTACTTCTCTGAGGCTTATCTAGACTATTTCGTCCAGCTTGCAGAACTATATAAGAAACAATTTTCTACTTGCCGCCTATGTTCTCCATATTCTCAGAAGTGAGCAGGTAGAAAAGGAGCTCAAGGAGTTTGGGGGAGGTATGAGTGATCTGTCCCCAACTGATGAAGCAGAACTAGAGGAGAAAAATGAAGTTCCTTATAGGAAAACCTCCCTATAAACTGAAATTTGCCAAGCACTGAAGTCCCTTAGGCCGGGAGATAGGAGGTTCTTTTTCAAACATCCCCTTTCTCACCATCTAGAGCAGTGGTTCTCAACCTTCCTAATGCCGCGACCCTTTAATACAGTTCCTCATGTTGTGGTGACCCCAAACCATAAAATTATTTTCGTTGCTACTTCATAACTGTAATTTTGCTACTGTTATGAATTGTAATGTAAATATCTGATATGCTGTGTTTTCCGATGGTCGCGACCCACAGGTTGAGAACTGCTGATCTAGATTATCAGACCCTTCTACTGGAGACGGTATATGGAGCACAAAAACTCATCCTACGAAGGTCTCTTCCCAGCTGGCTCAGGGGCCAATCAGCAGCTGCAATGCAGGCACCAGAGCTAGTCAACAGGCTGGGTCCTCGCCCACTGACAATTCTGCTGCCCAGGTGCCACCTGGTGGTGATAAGCAAAAAGCACTTCTTTAGAGTGTTTAAGTGAGCCCGAGTGCTGAGACTTCCTGGATTTGCAATCTGCATTTATATGTAAACCACATTAGCCTAGGAGGCAGAGGATTGAATGTGGTCATCTGGTCCCAGCTCACAAGATGGAAGGGGCAGGGCAACAGAATTGGAGGAAATTTCCTCTGTATTATTCCTAGCAAGTTATAGCAAAGTAGTGGTCCCATTGTTGGATTGCTCTACATTAGAATTTGGCTCCACATCACACTAGTTGTGGAACCCTGAGCTGATTAACCCTCTTTAAACCTGTTTTCTCCTCTGCCAAATGGGTATGAGAATAGTACCCATCGTGTTGTGCCAATTAGATATTGCAATTAAAGTGCCTTGCCTTAAATTTTAAATACTCAGTAAGTATCTAGACCAGTGATGGTGAACCTATGACACGCGTGTCAGTGGTGACACGCGAACTCATTTTTTTGGTTGATTTTTCTTTGTTAAATGGCATTTAAATATATAAAATAAATATCAAAAATATGTCTTTGTTTTACTATGGTTGCAAATATCAAAAAATTTCTATATGTGACACGGCCCCAGAGTTAGGGTTTTCCAAAATGCTGACACGCCGAGCTCAAAAGGTTCACCATCACTGCCCTAGACCTCCCTGTTTATTTCCTATGCAGCAAAACAGGACCTTTTTCTCCACTGGGCAGCCCTTCAATATTCCAAGTTATCTACTGGGTCTCCCCTCAGTCTTTTCTTATCACTTTCTTTCAGCTCCTCCACTGGTTTGCTAGTGGCCTCTTTACAAATCACATTGAGAAGAATGCACAATACCTTAGGAGTTGTTTCAGGCACAGACATGGAAGAACTGCTATATTTACAATGCATGCCTATGGTTCTGTTATCCTTATGGAGCTCCTAGAAAGGCCTAGAACATAGCAGGCTCTCACTATTTATGAACTGACATACTATAAGGACAAATATTTTTTAGCCAATTAGAAGTCCTGTGTTGTTCTCTCATTGTTCCTGTGTTGTTCTCATTATTGCTAATGTAGATCTCTGAATTTATTCCTCAGACAGGCTCAAGCAATTTTTTTGTTTTGTTTCCCTGACCAGGAATGGAACCTGCCACCTTTCAGTGCACAGGATGATGCATCAACCAACTAAGTCACACCAGCCAGGATACAACTAATTGTTTAGAGGGTCAACCAAATTGATACAAATTGACCCCTTGGATTTAGTCAATCCAAGTTACACTTTCAATATTACTTAGTATGTCCTTGTTTACTGTTGAGAAGAGTCTTCCGTATTTTTATATAAGTTTTTAATAAAACATACCTCTTGGGTATATCACTAGAGATTTCTCTAACACGAATGCACTAATCAACATTTACTACGCACTCATGTTCAGTTTGGATTCCACCAAATTCTATTATTAATGGAACCGTAATCTTTTATTTGTAATGATTTAGGTGAGAAAGAGGCAAGCAGCTCCTGACATTTACGAACTGGCCTGACACAGCTAGGCTTCAGAGTTGTCGGGGCTGACCTGCGCTCATAGGTAGGAAATGGTGCTCTACTATTGGACACAATCTCACAAAACACCAACACAGGACAAGGGCACTCAGTAACTATGATGAAGGGGGCCAAAAAGATCACTTCACAGTTTTGTTTAAGTACAAAGCAGGTCAGTGTGCAAACCACAAGATGGCAAACACCTCCCTCACCCAGCTGAGTGACTACTGTTTCATTACCAATTACAACTTTGCTTCACTCCAGTCTTCCCTTTATCGGGATAAAAATAAAGAAACCCAATCAGCCCTAGCCGGTTTGGCTCAGTGGATAGAGCGTCGGCCTGTGGACTGAAGGGTCCCAGGTTCGATTCTGGCCAAGGGCACATGCCCAGGTTGCGGGCTTGATCCCCAGTCAGGGGCATGCAGGAGGCAGCCAATCAATGATTCTATCTCATCATTGATGGTTCTCTCTCTCTCTTTTTTCCTTCCTCTTTGAAATCAATAAAGAAATATATTTAAAATAAAAAAAGAAACCCAATCATAGAATTATCTATCCCCGCTTTTCAAAGAGCACTCAATCCAGAATGAAGTCCCACTTCCTTAAACCTTCCCCCAAATCACTTAACCAAAATACAAGTCCTATAGCTCCTAATACCCTTTCACTTTCTAATACCACAGTTCCCCATGGCATGCTCTCTCCATCATTCCTATGAGCATTAAACCGAACTTGTTCAACTGCAGGTGTATTCCTGATGGTCTTTAGCTGGAGGATGTTAATAAAGGACATACAATGTATAGTTTCCCAAATCTACCTCTTTCGAGATACTTAGCAAAAAGAAATAAAGTTAATGGGTCAGCATTGGGCTGGGATGAATTCATGTTGATATCTATGATCACACTTGTCTCTAAAGATTCATAAACCATCTCTTTAATAATCCAAACTTGTGCTAGAAAATCAACATTTAACTCATCAATGCGTAGTTTCTAAAATCCACAAACAATATTTTAGTATTTACCCATTTTTAGTCTTTAGATTCTTTTTTCTTTTTTACTGGCCTTGCCTTGACCTAGCCCACCAACTCCAACCCCAGATATATCCTGAATGATCAACCAGACAAGAGAGCAAGAGGTAGCAGGGGATATGATGGGGGAGAACACAGGATCACTGTCTCTACCCCCAAATCCACAATCCCCTTAGATTAGACACCTGAGTTGATTCCCCGTATCAGCTATGAGCTGAGGAGGAACTGAGGTTTGGCTATTGGGGCCCTCAGCCTTGACGTTTAATTAACTTTAAAACCAATGTGGTCCTATGTGGAAGCAGAGAGAAGGAATGAATTCTGAGACTTGTATCCCCAGAACTCTCCTTTTCCCAGCACCTCCCAAGCCTTAAAGGTGTAAGGCACTGGTAACTACGGAAGGGATTGGAGGGACATTAACTGCCATAACTAAAGACAGCAACCGCCACCCACCGTGCTGTTTGAATAAGGGAAGGCTCTGTCAATACAGATTCCATTCCCATTTTCCAGCACATCCACCCTCCTTAGTACCTGCCCCCCTAAATGACCCTAGGAGCCCTGGTTACTAAGGCAACCTGGGAATAGGTCATGCAGATAGAAACCAGAACAGATGGGACTATTTTTAAACTGGACTAGGTGGCTCCAATGCTTTTACCTCACAAAGTGCCTTCCCCAGTCTCATCTGGTCTTCCTCTGGGTCCCTACCCTTGTTCACTGGTCTCCATCCAACTTTATCCCAGCTCTGAGGGTGGGGGGGTCTTTGTCCGATTTTGGCATGACATCTATTTACTGCTCCCATATTCCACACAGGAACTCTAAGCAAGTTTTCACTGCCCTCATTTGTTAAAAATAATTGTTTTTTTATTTCTTTGGAAAGTGGTGGGCCCTGCCCTATGAATTTCCAGGCCAAGCCAAGGTAATGAATCCTCCCCTAGTCATTGGGCTGGATGACTATGGTCCCCGCCTTGCTACAGGCCCAGGAGCAGTTATTGTCCAACTCAACTACGTCCCCAATTGTCTGAAGGCTCCTATTAGGCCTCCTCTCTGGCCACCCACTTCCCAATCTTTCCTGGCTTTCCCTCTGGGCACTGTTTTCTTCCAAAGCCAGTGCTGGAACCTGTGCTGAGAAGAGAGAACCAGACCAGGCATGTCCCCATCTTCCCATCAGGGGACATTCAACCCCTCAGTCAGTCCTTCCCCTCTGCTGGCTTCAGTCTGCACCCCTATGCAAGCCCGCTCTGTGAGACTTAAAGATGGACAAGAGGGACCTCATAAAAGGGAGGTGAGAGAAAACCCACCAGCCAACCCCTTCTCAGAAGTAAACTCCTTGTAGTCTCTTGTCCTAGTTCTTGAATAAGCCCTTAAGACAGGGCACGGGAGGGCTAGGCGAGTGGGTGGGTAAAGGACTCCCCGGATCCCAGCCTGGGAGGCTATACCATGGGAGTGTCCAGTAGTAGCTCCATCAGTGTGGCATGGCTGTGATACGCATGCTCTGGGAAGCAATGGGGTAAGTCACCATGGGAGTGGTGGTGTGGCTCATTGTGATTCCTGCCAAGGGTTGGGCCATCGATACAGCCACAGGGGCCACAGGAGCCACAGATACAGCCACAGGAGCCATGGAGACAGGTGGGGGTGCCATTCCCTGGGCAATTGTTTGAGCCAGAGCAGCTGACAGTGGCGTGATCTCTGGATTCAAGTGTGGGGGTGGGGGTGGTGGAGCAGCAGGAGGTGCAGCATTAGTTGGGGGAGCAGCGGGAGCTCCCGCAGGGGCTACCAGTTCTTGCTGAGACACAGGCCGAGGCTGTAGAGCCTGGCTGCTGAGAGTAGTATGAGTCTGGGCAATGCCATGGTTAAAAGTGGCAACAGTGCCCACAGTAGGAGCCAGAGTCTGCTCAGTTGCTGGTGCAGTGGAGCTCAGGGTCATGACCTTGGCTTGATTGCGGAACTGGGCATTTTGTTCCAGGAGTACCTCATTGGTAGCCAGAAGATTGCTGACCTGCTTCTTTAGCTCCTCTACCCGCTTCCTGAGCATGGCATTCTCCTCTTCTAGCAGCCTGCACTCTACCCCTCGGGGTGGAGCCAGATTATAGTCATAAGATTCAAAATGCGGGCCATCTGGGGGACAGCATCCACCTCGCCGGCGCTTGGGACCTGGCTCGTGGTCCTCAAAGCCCCTGTCAGGAAGGTCATAGATATCATAGAGATCATGACGTCGTCCTGGGGGGACTGGGCCTGTTGAGCCCCCACCACCAGTGCCTCCTCCACCCCTAGTATCAAATTCAAAATCCCGCTGTAGATGACGGAACTTGCACTTGGCTCCTCTCTGGCAGTCACCTTTGAGAAAATCACGGCAAATAGGGACCTCCTCCTTGCCATTCGGTAGGTCAGCTGGAGAAAGGCCCAGGCCTGCTGCGACTTTCTGCCTCAGCCGAGGGGGAAGCTCTCCTGTCTTCTTATAGCCATCCTCATCCTCCTTGGAGCCATGAATGAATCGGCAGTTTGGGCGACTACATTCCTTGTTCTGGAAGTCATGGCAGAAGATGAACTCATTTTTGCTCACCCCCAAGTTGGACACCTCACTCATGTCTGGATGGCGATACCGGCAACGCTTGCCTCGCTTGCACACATTCCTCAGGAAGTCTCTACAGATGGCATCTGAGCTGGCCCCTCCACTGCCTGGCCCTGTCCCACTGGCCTCCTCGCTGCCACCACTTCCAGGGCCTCCACCGCTGCTCCCAGTGCCGTTGGCATAGCTGTCCCGGTCAGGCATCCTGGTCCCCCCCAAATCAGGGCTTTCTTCTTTTTCTTGCCACCCTTGGTGACCACTAGGAAAGAGAAGAACTGTGTCAAACAAGAGTCCTCCGGAGAGGCCACACTCTTCCCGACTTTAGGGTAGGCAGTCCAACAAGAGGCAGGCCAGAGGGGCAATGGCTTTGGAGATGGAGAACCTTGGGGGTGAGAATTCTGCCCAGACTGGCTGGCTTGTCAGAAGTCCCGCCCAGGCTCTTATGCACCTGGTCTGGGACAGAATGATTCACACTTGCCTGGCTAATGGAGAAGGGAGGGAGCTGGGCGTGAAGCCATCTCATCTCACTAATGAATGCAGGCCAAGGAGGGGGCAGGGATAGAACAGTACTGGATTTTATTTCCCCTTTTGAATTGACCTTATTAAAGTTGTGGAAATGAAATTAAAACTGTCAGTGTCTGAATAGGCTAGGAAGGTACTGGGAATCGTGGCCAAGATGGGCTGGTGAGCCACTAGGGCTGTGGATAATGGAATGCTGGTGACAAAACTTCCCTTAACCCCTCTTCCATGGGATTTCAGATGAGGGCTCTGTGAAGTATCATTATCTCTAGACCCCAGGGAAGCTTGAGTGAAGAGACTTGTGTCACCACCCTGAAGGTAGTCCCTAAACCTGTCATTTTTTAGTATTCCCTCCCAGCTCAATACCACTATCGACCCCAGTGTGGTCAGCACCCTCCTCTCCCATTTCGGGGAAGAGTTCTCCGGCTAGGATCTCCACTTATAGACGACCAAAGGACAAAACCTATAGACTACCGAAGAACAGAAGCAGGAAGAAGGAGTTAATTTCACAGGAACAAGTGACCTTACTTTCCCATTCTATCCCCTCCTAACCCTCCATGGGAAGATACCACTGACATCAAACCACACCATTCCTCACCCCATAAAGATCCTCTTTATTTATAGACGCTATAAAAGCTTCTTAAGTCTCATCTTTCCCAAGAGAGCTCTGGAATGTCAGTCCACTGCCCTGGTTCTAGCCCGCCCCTCACCCCACCCCCTACAAGACTGGGAGTCCTGGCTACCATGTGTCTGACCTGGTAAACCTTTCCTAGGCGGTGTCCAGGCTCCCCCTGCTGTTCAAATAGGAAAACTTCATATTGTTTCCCCTGGAGTATAAGGGAATCTTTCCAATTTCTCTGGCTTTAATCTGCCACAACCACCACTTGGTTGCCTTGACTTTGCCTTCAAATCTCCCTAAAAGAACCGACCAGGGGCCAAAGTTACAAGAGAATCTGTAAAAGAAGGGTCCTTTTCCTCCAAAGGGAGGTAAGTCTCAGGATAATAGAAACAATCAAGTGGTAAGAGAGAAAATGCGAAGTTTTACTAAAAGGGAAATGACCTGGTGAAAAATAAATGCCATCTTTCCAAGCCTGACCCGCGGGCGAGTCCCACCAGGGTTCCCTCCCACCCACCGTCCCAGGAGTATTCGATACCTGAGGTAGCTCAGGTGAAGTCCGGGGCTCCTGTGGGTCTCCACCTCCACATCACTGCTGGGTTCTGAACAGGAACAAAACACATACTTGGGTGGGAGAAAGGGTAGGAACGGAGGACCATGGGGTGACAGTTACAAGAAGTCAGTCTGACAAAACGGCAAGAGCTCTGAGCACATCAAGATTTCCTCAGGGTTTCAACTCACTTCACCAAAGGGAAACGTTGCAAGTAAGAAAAGTAAGAGACAGAACTAAGCTGGAGAGCCTAGAAGGATGGGTTGGGCAACCAGCCCTGGGTGCACAAAGGGCGAGGGGAGCCCTGCCTCAAATGGAGGATATGGGGGTCAGAGTCCGGCTCAGGGTTGGGGTTAGGAACTCCCCCTGCGGAGCCGCGCAAGGGCCGCGACTGACAGTGCAGTGGGTGGCCGACTGGGCTTGGGGGCAGTGATTATGACGCCTCCCAACACCGAGTTTGGAAAAGTCCCGTTTCCCGCAGCAAATCTTCTGCCTTGGCAGGTTCCGTGCAGTGCCGCCCGCGCTCGGCCGTGGGAGGTGAACAGGACATTAAGTGAACACGAGGTGAGGCGGGAGAGGGACTGCGGGTGACATCAAGCTGAGGGGATGGGCAGGGCTGTGACGTCATGGAGCTAGCGTCTGCTCGCCCAGCGAGGTCAGTTAGAAAAGGGTAGCCTGGCCGCTGGGCCGGCGACGACTCCTCCCCTCCGGGCGCGGCCTCCACCTGTCTCCCGCCTCCCTCACCTGCCGCCGCCGCCGTAGTTGCTGCTGCTGCCGCCTGCCGGTCCTCTAGCTTCGACAAAGAGCCGCCCACCCAGCGGCCCTTCCGCTTCCTGCGGAAGAAATGGCGCTCTAGCCACCAGACCCGGAACTATACTCTATGGTGTGTACAGTACTTGCGCGACTAGCCGCAGGAAGTTCCCAGCAAGCTTTGCGTGTCACCATGGTAACGGTGACATGGTAACGCAAAAAACGTCTTAAAAAACCGCAACTTGACGTAGGCCTAGAGATGAGTAGGGGCGGAACCATTTGCCCAAGAACTATCGCGATACCTGTCCCCAGGCTCCCACTACTCCAGGGCCCGGGGCCAGAGTTGGGTAGGGGCAGGGCCCACACCCCGGGGGCAGCACGTAGCTCGATATCCTACTGCATCAGGTAGTTAACGGGGCCCGCCGTACCGACAGAATCCCCAGCCAATGGAACCAAAAAGACCACAAAGCAGACATTATCTTTTTCTTCAGCTAAGACAGAAGAGGTGATTTATTGTACACGCTACATTCAGCCACAGAGAACAGAACCAGTCCAGAATGTCACGGGTCCAGGGCAAAGATCCAAAAGAGGCTGTTTTTGTAAGAGCAGAGTGGGCCTCTCAAAAGGGCTCGGCGCTCAGGTGACGCGCAGGTTATGTTCCAGCTCCGGCGGAGGCGCGCGGGACAGCAGGCTCGCAGTC